CATAGGCAGATCAAAGAACAAGAACAAGGGCTTGGACCTAAGTGTTGGGCCTGACTTTCCAGTTAATCGTCCAGCAACTCTGATCCGAAATTAACAACCTTAACAATTTGGTACCAGAGCTTGTCACCATGGACGAGAATACCGTAGAAACAAAGTCAGGAAGTCTTCTATAGGAGGCCCAAACTCAAACCGAAGAAAATAGTAGTTGTAGAAGCAAGGATGAGCTCCAAATTCCAGCAACTGTCGCAACAAATTGAAATGTTAATCTGCACCAGACACGTGCAATTGAACCGTTCATCTGCACCACCACACGTGCAAAGGGAGTTGAAGTTGAAGACAGTAATGCTGCGCCTGTCCAACGAACCAGTAACACAAGTGAACAGCTAGGTGTGCATCTAGGAGGAAGAAACAACAACAATAACTTTGTTACGGATGACAACAACAAGATACACTAAATCAGACTTCACTACTTATGATGGAAGTGAAGATCCCCTCTTATTTGGTTTCACCATTGTGAGAACCAACGCTCAACCAACCAAGAAAAAGTAGGCTTATCTTCTTTTCACGTGGTAGGGAAGACGCAAGTGTGGGTTTATCAACTGGAACAAGAGGAATCCAATTTAACATGGTGTGTCTTCAAAGAATATTACACTCTTTGAAGATGCTCTAAAGATCGTCTGCCATTCTTTTGCATTAAGCAACGTTAGTCTTCAGATGTTCTCTGAAATGACCATGGTAGTTCTCATATCTTCGTTTGTTTTTTGTTATGGAATAGGAAATCATGTTTGTAATGTTATGTTATGAGCTGTTTATGCTCCCCCCTGCCCATGCATTTAATTCATGTTACCTTCTGAAGTCAAGGAAGTGTCTTTGAATGAACTGATTGCCAGAATGTTTATATGGACAAAAATTTTTACTCCCATCATACTTTAGCTTTAGTTTGTTTCGTTTTGTAAAAAGAACTTGTAAAGCACTGCCTAATGAGTAGTTTTTTAATTCAGGCCCCTTTTATACAAGTGAGCAGATCGAGGTCGTTGCTTTTATTGGTTAAGCCAGCGGTATTTCTTCTGGCTGTTGTGTTAGGAGTGTATGTTTCCAGCTCTCCTTTCTCTTCGTCTTTGTTAACTTTTGATATTTAATTTGACTCATTTTTATGGCATTGTGGACTGATATAATCAATGCAAAATGAATTCTGGCTTAACTTTTGATGTTTAATTTGACTCATTTTTATGGCATTGTGGATTGATGTTGTCAATGCAAAATGAATTCTGGCTTACATAGGTATATGTTAGGGAAACTTTTGTGGACTAACAAGTTGGCACTGAACATGACTTTTAATATCTGGGGTTGTTTTTTGGCTCAAGTGTCTTTTGTTGCACTTATACATGTAGCACCTTTTGAAGAACCAAGAAATCCTTTGTCTTTGGCAATGATCTCTCTATAGCTTTGTTGGCATTTGTGCTAATACCATTAGTTCATGTGGAAATATTACTATAGTTAAGAAAGCCGTGTGCTTTTATTCATTCTCCTCCATCGATCACAATATTTGGTGGCCTTTTCATGCGCTGACTTTACCTAATCACCTGGTCAACAAAAATAGACGGAATAGCATGTCCATCCCTGATTGGCTCAGGGTATAAGCAGATAGCTTGCTTCAGTTTTGGAGATCACTGACTGATAAGGTTTTTTGCAGGCTTCTACATCTCAGCCTCTTTGCTTTCAATGCTCTGGCAATATCATTACTCTCCACTATTTCAGGGGGTAGTGAATCATCTTTTTCAAAGAAGCAAAATATTAGTGCTGTTTTACTTGTTGCAAGCCAGGTAAACTACATTTTATCTTTCTGCTCATAACAGCTATATTGCATCAGTCTAGAAAGCTTGATGCAGAGATTAGAGAAACCCACAATTCCAAATTTTTCTTCTTCTTTTTTTTTTACCTTTTTCATGACATCATCGAGGTGTCCTAATTTCCTTCGTCTTACTATTACAAGAAAACTCTGCCTGTAATGGTAGCAGTAGTAGAACAGCTTGGTGGTGCTCTTGGTGAATCTGGTTTATTGGTTCTTCCATGCATAGCGGCACATCTGAACCAGGTTATTCTTGATTTCTTCAATTCTTTGATTTTGCATTTCCAGTTTGCTAACACGAAATATCATTTGCTGCAGATCATCTTCGACTCTTTTTTGGTGAATGTTTGGTTTCAAAAAGAGCATGAGTTGAAGAGTGCTTAGATCAAATTGTCAGTCAAGGATTATAGCTTCATTTACAGTTTGTGCACGACAAGCATTTTTTAAAGTTATCCTTTCATATATATGTTGGCTCAATTGTGAGAATACTGTTATCCAAATATAATAGTCTTTTCTCTTGAAGAATAATAATAATGCATCTACTTAAAGACTATAAATGGTGTTGCAAGGTAATTGTTCTATAGCTCAAACAGGTTTATTTTCTATGTATGTACCTAATTTTCTTTCTACTTTCACTTCATTTATCCCTAATTTGTATAATTGAGCTCAAAATTACTGTAACTATTGACAGTGGCTTTTCTTCATCAAAATCTAAGTTGATTGATATACTTAATTCTCAAAGTTTATACATTAGAAGCACATTTTACTTGCACTAGATTTAGATGTGAGTGAGTAAGGAGTCATCTTATATGTTTGTTAAGTTCCTTGTTAAGGGTGTACATGACCGGGTTGGTTTGGATTTTTCAAATATCAAATCAAACCATTTGTGTCGGGTTTTTGAATTTATAAATCAAACCAAATCAATAAAACTCGGGGTTTTCAACTTCGGGTTTTTTCGATAAATTATTCATACAAACATATAATTTACTTGTACATTAAATATTTCTTTAGTCCTACCAAAATGCAAGTATCTAAGTTATTTATCAAGAAAAAAAATGATATGATTAATGATACTAAAATATCCAACAAAAAAATAATAAAATCGTGTAATAAATACTGCAAATTAATAAGTCATAATGAAATTGATCATAATTTAAAGTACTAAAGCATGCTAAAATAAGTTTAGCACGTATTAGTTACGTGACTAAATATTAAAAAAAAGTAAAAGTAGATCATTTATTTTAATTGTCTAAATATATTAAAACTAAAAAACAAATATTCAATATTATTGTCATTCTTAGTGTTGAATTGATTTTCTTTTTGCATTAATATTAATTTGATTTTTATTTAAGCTTTATTATAATTATCAACATGTATTATAAACTAAATATTTATTAGATCATTAAGAATTCTAACTTTCAAACGGAAATAAATATATTAAAAGATAAAAACTATGAAAAAGGATATTTAAAAATTATATCAAAATAAGTATTTTTACATATAAAATAAAGTTTTAAAATTATATATATAATGTCGGGTTGGTTTGGTCTCGGGTTGGTTTTTTTAGTTGAAACCAAAGCAACCCAAATTTAGTCGGGTTTTTTTTTCCAACACTAAATCAAGTCAAACCACACGACTAGTCGCGATTTTTTTTTGATTTGCGGTTTGATTCGATTTTCGGTTCGATTTTATACACCCCTAGTTCCTTGTATTTCTAGAGCAACTACACGTTTTGAAACTTAATGATCACATTGATGTAGAGCGGATGTTGAAAGAGGTTGTTCCTGATTGCTAAATTATTCATTTTTCAGTTGGGATTTGGACCTAACTCAACCTCCGAAAAAATTATAGCTAAAGAAGGAAAGATTATCCAAATCCATGAAATAATGGTATAGTGGGATGGATAACATTCCTTCACTTTCAACCAGAAGTCTCACACGTTATAGCTCAAGAGATAAAGATTGTAGAAGTCCATATAAGCATGAAATTTTAATCCATTATAACACCCTTCTCACACCTAGAAGATCATGTTCGATTAAAGCATGGATCGGGAGCTCAAACGAGGATGAATCTGACTTTGATCCTAACTCACCCTCAAAAGCTAGCCCATGAAGGATCCTACCCAAGTCCACAAAACCAAATTGTCCATCCATTCTCCAAACTATGTGGATATTTAATTCACTCTAACACTTCATTCACGCTCAGGCACAACTGAAGCGTGGATCGAAAACTCAAACGAGGATAGACTCAATTCTGATATCATGTAAAGATATAATACTAGAATCTAACTCAACCACATAAAACTCGACAGTTCTTCTCTCATAAGCTAACTGTGAATTGAGTTAGATTCATATGTTATATCTTTACCATTCATAAGAGACAAGATAAACTCTTTATCTTCTCCTTTCTTTCTTATGCATGATAATTGTTTGGGTCATAGTTACTAATTTATGACAAATTCTTAATGCAAAAGTAAGCTAAGATTGTGTAGCAGGTAGGGGTTGGCAGTTAGGCCTATTATTATAATTTCTACATTATGTTATAGACTGAAGTAAAATGTAGTGTCTATATTCGATGTTGTACTTATTTAAAATTTAATTTTGGATTTGTTTTGTCAAAATTGTAAAAGAAAAGCAAATAGATGTTGACTATTTTAGGTTTACATATGTCATAATTCAATCTGATTGAACTTTAAAATTACCAAACAATCCACCCTATATCTTGCATATCTTACCTATCAACATTACTAGAAAATTAAAGATTAGGGAAAATTTGTTTGATAAAATATGATTTTTTTCATCGATCAGTTTCATTGGAAAAATGCATAGTGAAAAATAGATTCTCATTGAAAAAACATAAATATTCTTAAGTTTTTCATTTGAAATAATTACAATTTCCTTCCGACCAAATTCAATTGAAATATAAGTCGAATAGCCACGGAGCATTTTTCAAATGAAAAATGGTAAAAAAAAATTTAGCATGTGCCTCTTATTCTACAATAAAAATAACTTTTAGCGGCATTAAATATTGACGCATTACCGGCATTAGTAAGTGCTATTAGAACCAATATCGCTAAAGACTTTAGGAACATATACAAAAAGAGTGACAATTGCCGCTAAAAGTACATATTTAGCGATAATTAAAAATTAAATGCCACTAATGATCATTTTTATTGTAGTGTTAGAGTTTGTTTAACAAGCAATTAAAACCAAGTTACTAAAATAAATGAAGCATTATAATACATCTAAGACACTTAATTTGGTCCCCATAGAAATTACAAGCACAATGATAACAACAATTTTCTTCAAATGTAAAAATAAATGAAAATTTAGAAAAAATTAAAAATGTTTTTTAAAAATACTATGGTTTCTTGAAAATTTTTCCAGCAGCCACAGCAGCATCAATAACATCAGTGATAACTCTAACAACTGTAGTAATTGAACATGTATTTTCTTTGAATGTTGGAGATCCTGATTTTGTGAACTTAGCTACACAACTCAAGAAGTTCTCATTGCACTCCAAATTTAGATAATTATCTGTCACATCAAAAAATAACAAAAATAGCTAAGAAGAATGAATTCGGGATTTAGAATCAATCAGTTCGTAATGAATAAAGATTTGCTAGTGTGTGTGTATATATATATATATATATATTCTCTTTAAATTATGTGATATAGTTTGACTTGACACAGAGTTTAAGATAGAAGGATGTTTGTGTAGCTATAAATTATTTCATTAAAGATAAAGTCAGAATTTTAAAGTTTGGTTACCGAATAAAACAATAGTCATTCTTTCTTAGACCCACTAAAAAAAAGTGAATCATATAAATTAGGGGGGAAAAAATTGAGTAACTTTTTTGGGATAATTATATCTTTTTGTACCATCCTAAAAAATAATAAGAGAAATGTATTTGTTTTGTATATTAAATATAATAAAATGTATTTGTTTTGTATATGAAATATATAATAAATATACATTATCAGTTATACATATTTTATATCTTAATGTAAACATCATTATTTAATTATACATATCTGCATGGTTCGAGCCAAAGAAAAATTGAAGTAAGATTCGTTTATGCCAACAAACTATCACTAAAAATTATTTTTAAACCCTACTTGTGGAAATGAAACAAGTTATTATGATTAAAGTAACATAGCATCTAAATATCCACTACTAAAAAAAATATACAATTACCTCTAAAATATATCGATAATTCCTAGTTAATTCATTATTAAATAATTCTTAACTAATTAATTTAATCACTAATTTATAAATAAATAAAATTAGTATGAAAATTTACTGTTTAGCTATGAAATTATATCAATCAATCGAGCTTCATAATTTGAGTATGATAAACACCAACTTTGATGTGTCAACATATGCATTATTGACTACAACTACCTCACATAATTCAAAATATATTATTTTCTCTAGCTAGGTGTATTGCAAAGCAACTTCCTCAGTAAAACCTTCTTTGTTACTTGTCACTTATTAATTTATTATTTCTTTCGTTTCAATGATATTTTTTAAAATTTTAAAATTTAAATAAATTTATTTTTAATCATAAATTTTTCATATACTTTTCAAATGCTTTGAATATTTAATTTTTGAAAAATAAAAAATATCATATAAATTAAAATATAGGGAGTATTTTTTGGAATTGGACAAGTGACATTTTGGAATATATCTAGACACATACGAAAAAAAATAGAATTTAATTTCTATTTATTGGGGGTTGTAAGAAGATGTTTACATAATTAAGTCAATCAAAAATAAATGTAGCTAATTTATATGCTAAAATATATATTATTAATAAATATAAAAAATGATAAATAATATATAAATCATTTACAACTTCATTGCATGACTTCAAATTTTTTAGAGATAAAAGGTGTGAATTAGGAACTATGAGTGTGTTTGGTATTAAGGAAAAATATTTTCTATAATCTTTTTTTCTAATGTTCAATTAGTTAAATATTTTGAAATTAAAATATGTTAATAATTAGGAAATTAACTTCCTTAACTAAAGTAAGAAAATAAATTTCACAAATAATAATATCCAACGTCAATTATATTTTTATCGTACCTTTGACACCTCATTTTCACCTTTTATCCTACAACTCTCAACCCCACCACCACAAACCCCACCTCACATGATATTTATATAGCGTTTTATATAAATATCTAAAAAAAAATAATTTAAAAATCACTTATATTTTTAAAGATTTTTTTTTTGAAAAAATATTTTTCATCATCAGCCGAACACACCCTACGTATCAACCTTCAACGCCATATATTTAAAAAGAGCTCTATATTATATATAAGATAAACGTAAACAAAATTTTTACATTTTTACTGTCATTATAAAATTCAAAACTCGTAAAGTAAATAACTTACTGTCTTTGTGTTGTATACATAAATCATGCTTCATACAACAAGCATCAAGTGCATCACATGGTTGTTCCCCAGGGCATCCACTATACATAATTCCACAATATTTACCATATCTTAGAAATGGAGGAACTGCAATGAAATCATTATTAAAATTTTATTAACTATAGAATTTATATAATTAAAAGTAGAAGTAGTTTTAAATATTGAAACATAGTGTACCTGCACAAAACTTTGATTCACATGTTCTACTGCATTCTTTTTCCTTAAAAAGTTGAATTAAAAAGGAAAAAAAAAGTTGATTAGGATAAGTTTGTGAATAATTAACATGAAATTGTTCTAAGCAAAAAAAAAATGATATAGTGGATGAATAATAATCTTCTTTTCATTTTTAATCAGAATTTTTAAGTTCGAGCTTTACTTTAAAAATATCTATTAAATTGGGTCCACCCCTACCTTACCCATAGGGGTAACTAATTATCCCATTAGTTTTATCTAGGCTACTATATATGGACAAAAGCAATTCATTTGCTTTGTCAAAATTTTCGATGATAGTTGACATTAGTTGTGATTAATGTAGATCTACTCAATGGGCTAAAGTGACCTTATTTTGCCTTATCAATTCTAGGGAAACTCTGAATATATGCATAGATATTTGTACATATAGATCTTTTAGATGCTAAGATCCAAAGGTGATTGGAAAATAATTCAGATCGTACGTTAAGGTTTTTAAGCAAATCACTTAGTGAAAAAGAAAGTGATCGATCGATGATAATCAGGAGGTGGGCTTGGAAGCGGTCGCTATGGGTATTATTTTACAATTGAAGTACTACACTAAAGAATGGAAAATTACGGAGCTTCTCTACTACATGACAGATATCTGAATTAGTCGAATTATTAAATTCTGAAATATCACGATCAATCATGCAATCAAGATTTAAAAGAAGATTCAAATTATGAAGAAGTACACGAAAAAATTAATAAAGATTCAACATCATAATATTCGTATGTATAAACAATGTAATATTCGATGACCCTACCTAGCTCCGCCTCCCAACATGGTTATAGGAAAGCATGAGATGAGAGAGATATAGAAAGAAAAATTTACCAAGGAGAGGCCAGCATTAGTTTCAACACCAACGTTAAGTGCATGAATTGAAATTGGGGAATTAAATAAATTGGTGAAAATTGCTATGATGCAAAATGCAAGAAAGTGTAGAGATAATTTCACCATTTGAACTAAGCACAAAGAAAGAAAAAAAAGCACTAAAATTTTAATAATTTAATAAAAAGGCTCTGATTTATAGGAAAAAATGGTTGGTGACAAAACAAAAATATATGTGTATAGAAACTGAAGCCTTTCTGGCTGAGTTGATGAGATGATATTTGTCTTGTAACGTCTCGTGACATGATTTTGGCACTTTTTGGACATGATTTATAAACACTATCAATTATTTTATTTTATTTTAACAGTGAGAAGGATGTGAACCTCAATTATTTGATTCAATATTTACTAGGAGAGATATTTTCAAAAATATATGTTTCAGTATTTTAAGTTGTGTAATCCAAATATATATAAAAGAAGGGACTAATTTGAGTCATTTTCAATAAGTTAAAAGGATATTTTTATTAAATAGATGAAAGAAAGAGTGAATTTGATTCAATAAATAGAAGTAGAATATTTTTAAACCATTTCTAATACATTAAAAGATATTTGTATAACTTTTTCCGTTTAAATTATAAACTTCTTTCTACAAAAGGTTGTGGTAGATATTAAAATTTTGTGGGACTCTACAAGATGTGTTTGATTCCAATTAGAATTCTTGGAGGCTACTCAACCTTAAACTCTAGTTCAAGTTTATATAAAGACTGTTATATTCAATTAAAATGACATCTCGAATGTCTCATAAATTATTGTTTTTTCACAAAGAGATCATGAACACCTCGAATATTGACTTTCTTAAAAAGCAATCTCGAATATATCATAAGCTCTTAGGTATTCGATCAATATCTCATAATTTTTGGGCATTCACAAAAAGAAATCATAGAAAGTACAGTTTTCTAACAAGAAGATAGAGAAAACCCGTGGATCAAACGCTGCAGATTTCTCTAGAAACTACAAATTTTAAGAATTCAAGCATTCAACTCAAGATCAAGACCATCATATACAAGATCAAGCTCAAAAAATTTCTTGAATTTAAGTACAAGACAAGATCAAGTTGAAGTTCATCAAAATTATATTGAAGATCAAGCTTGAAGGCCCCTGAATTTAATTAAAATTTAATTAGCACGAGTTGAGATCAATCTCAAACTCAAAAACCCTTGAACTTATATTCGAAAAAATGGATTAGGGGATCCATATATATTGTAACACTCATATTTTAAAATTATACACTACGATCATTGCAGTATTTTTCAATTCTGATTATTATTTTCTCGACACAAATTTTACTGTCTATAAATCTCAGAATTTATAGGCAATAAAATTCTGAGGATTGTAGACAATAATATTTTGAAAAATTATAGATAATGAAATTCGCGTTGAAAAAATAATAATCAGGACCGAAAAGTATCACAACAATCGCAGTATTTGATTCAAAATATAAATGTTACAATCTTTATGGAATTGAATATATATTCAAGAACTCTTGAGCTTCATCATAAACTTGTACTTGGATTCAAGTGCGTTAGAGTTTGATCTTGAATATAATCTTGATAAACTTGAACTTGACTTGTACTTGAATTCAAGGACCTTCGAGCTTGATCCTGAATGTAATATTGATGAACTTGAGCTTGATATTGACTTGTCATGCGGAAGTTAGCAAAGCAAATCTCAAAAGTCCACGAGTAAAAAGACAAACGAGAAATATACCTATAAACACAGACATAGTTTGGTCAATCGACCTACGTCCACAAAGAAGATGAGAAATTCACTATATAAATATGATAATACAAAATATAGAGAGAAACAACGTAACCTCAACCAATTCACTCGAAATACAATGAGATTCACACAAGTGATAACGTATCACTTGTGTCCCACAAATTCTTTCCCCTAACCAAAACTCTCAAAGCCCCTAAGACTACATTATGAATGTTATTATGTTAGAAGTAACATGTCTTTATTTATAGAGTTCTAAACATTTTGCTACAATAAAAGGACTAGTCAAATATGACGACTTTATATTTTTCTTTAGAAGAAGAAAAACCTATATATGGTAAGAAACTCAGGGCAATACCTAACATCATCATTCGCTTAGTAATCAAAGCAATAAGAATAAGTTAAAAATAAACAAAAACAACTAACATAATACATGACTTAACTTGGCTTTAACGGGCAACTATGACCTTCACATTGAGTGCGCACAATAGGCACTTAAACGTATATAAAATTGAACAAGTAGATACATTTGTCCTACATGACATAATACATGTAGGTTGTCACGTAGGACACTATATTATCATGTAGGATGCCATGTAGGACGAATTAGTCTATTTGTTCAATTTTAAACAACTTTAAACGCCTACTTATGTACACTCAAAGTTAAAAATACAGTATCCAACTAACATCATGTTAAGGGTCATGTTTATGGATTATGTCTTATTTTTAAATGTCGAAGATAAAACGACTAATATTTTGGAGCTAACCAGATTTTAAAATATACATATTATAGTTTATTTGACCAAATTTCTAAAATCGATTTATTTTGAAAAAAAAAGTGTATTTCAAAATAAATATACTTTCGGTGAGCATCAATTGTACTTGACTAATCAATTTTAAAAATAATTTTGAATTGGAATTAGTATTTGACCAAAAAAATTAAAAAAATCGTCTTCTATATATTTTTTAAGTGATCTTTTTTAATTTTTCACTTGATATTTGATATATATATATTAGAGTCTATTAATTCAAATCTAAGTCAGGTAAAACTTAATAAGATAAACCACTCTCAATCAATCATTTTTTCATATTCAAAACTCATATTCAAAACTTCTGATTAACGAAGAGGACAATCCCATCAACCACGTCACATAATTCATCCAGAAATTGACGAAAGATTATCTAATTTTAGGGATATTTGTATACCAAATGGCTTTTAATTAAATATTGATGCTTGTAGTTACCTTGTTGTATCTCGTGGGGACATATATGTCCAAGAATTCACGTGCCAATGTGACAGACAATTCAACTATTCAATTATGCACATGTACTTATTTACTATGCACTATATTCTCGTCCGTTAAATTTTACTTGTATATTATAATTCATTTTAATATATAAAAAATAATTGACTTTTATTCATAGTATTAACTTTCTTTTAAGACTAAATACTAAATATCAATGAATGTAAGTATACTAATAAAATACTCATATATTCGTTATTTGTAAAAGAATATATAAAATTCAAAGTGAACATGTAAAAATAAATAAAGAGAATATTAAAAATATCATTAACCGAAGAAATAGATTTATTTTCTTTATTTTATTTTACTTGACCAATTTGTTACTTCCTTTTACAAATTGCTAACATGGACATCTATATAGTAATTAATTTTATCTTTAATATAAAAATCATGTAAAATAAAACTATTTGAAGGGAACTGTTAAAAACGAATAATTATTTAAGTTATGGTAGAGGGTTGTAGTCATGATTTATACATGTTAACTTTCTTTATTACTATAATAATTGTTAGAAGTTGTCATAATTGTGGTGAGTAAAAAATAACGTGGTAAAAGAAAGAATAACGTCTAAACACCTCTCTGCTTAATATAACATTATTACAAATGGATTTCAAAATATTATATTTTAAACCAACCCCCCCCCCAGCCCACGCATCCCACCACCCACCCACCCACACCCACCCCACCCTATTTTTGTCATTTTCATTTCTTTCTTTTTTTTAAAAAAAAAACATTTTTTGGTCATTTTAAACCCTTTTTTTCGGAAGTTCCTTCAAAGGTGTAATGACCCTGAAAGTCATTTATGAAAATTTTCACAAAATTACCGTTTTAGCCATCTCATAGTTGTCTCGAGTCACTTTTGATCAATTTGTGAAACAAATTTGGAAATTTTTGAGTTATATATTAATTTCAATTGTCTAGTTGACCAGTGATGTTAAATAAATAAATTTTTATTAGGTGGCTAATGGGCCAATTCTGTAATCTATATAATACCCTTGCCACATGGCCCGTGTGTGAGAAAAAAAAATAGTGAGACTTATTAATATTGATTTATTTACTAGCTAACAATTATTACCCTAAATAATTAAAACAAATTGAGGAGAGGAATTACTTGTACGACGAATAGCGGCCGTAAGCTTCAGAATTTCATTAAAATGCAGGTTTGATTGATGTTAGTGTTGACGAGTGTAAAGAAAATTGAAAGTGAAAATGGGTGGCTATTGGTGTTAGTATTACTCACTGATGTATTGAAATTTGGAGAAAAGTGAGGGACATAATAATAACATATAGAGAAGTAATGATTGAGGGATAATGGCGCTATGACTTTAACTAGTAGGTTAATTTTCAATTTGTCCTTTTGCACTATAGTAAATAGTTTAATAAATTAATTGAATTTGATTTTAGTTTCTATTGATTACAGATTGGAAGGGTAATCTCTCATTAATTATTAATAGTGTAGTACGGATAACTATATACGTAAGTATTATATGTGAGTATGGGTTGAAACAATTAAATTAGATTGCTTTGTTTTCGCTAGTGTGCTAAGCCGTTAGTTTGATTTTAATTATTTTCTTTTGTTATCATGTTATATATTCAGTTTTGATATATTGAGATAGATAATTAAATACTAAATGTATTGTATTACTTGAATACCATTAAAGTTATGAGAATTGGAGGTATTGAAACTAAATAGGTTTGAAATTTATAAAATGTGAAACTTGATAGATAAGTGGGTATCAAGATTTAGAAAATTTATTATAGATTTGAGTAGGTTTTTCAGTCTAGACTAAACCTATAATAATATGGGTGTTGTTAGTTTCGAAATCTTACGATAATTATGGACTTGAATAGATTGCATTTATTTGGAGGCCAAATGAAAAGGAAAGACTCAGGTTCTGAAGTGACTGTTCGACTATTTGAGGCAAGTGAATTTCTAAACTCTTGTTACGTGTATGAAATGCGTGTATGTCCTTGTGGTATATGTTTGGAAGTAATGGGATTGGTGATGGGTTGACTTGTCCACATTGATTAATTCTAATGATGAAAAGAATAGGGATAACAAAAGGCAATGTGATTGTTGATGTAACTTCAGGTTTGTGTGGTTGTGAACTGTGCGATGTTATGAAAATGGTCATCTCCTCATTATTTGTGTGAACTTGTCATCTACATTATTCTAAGGCATTAATTGTGACAAGTGTTATGT